GAAAGGGCTGGAGGCACCGTACAGAGAGGCACCAGCTACGGCCGGGCCGCCCAGCGGGAAGGAGATGCCGAAAGCAGCGGGCGGGAGCATGGGCTTGGCTGCCATCTTCAGCTTCTCCAGCTCGGCCTCCTGAAGCCGCTTGGCCTTGGCACGGCGGTTCTGGAACCAGATCTTCACCTGCGTCTCAGTGAGGCTGAGCGAGCTGGAGAACTCGGCGCGCTCAGCGATGGACAGGTACTGCTTCTGCCGAAATTTCCTCTCGAGGGCCAGGAGCTGTGCTGTGGTGAAGGGCGTCCGGGGCTTCCTGTTCGTCTTGTGCTTGCGCAGGGTGCAGGCTGGGGGGCTCAGCCGCCCTGTGCCCGGGGCGGCCGGAGGAGAGGGAGAAGGAGAGAGACACCTTGGTTAGCAGCGCCTGAACCCACATGCCCCGCAGAGCCCCCACCCTCCCGCAGTGGGGCGAAGAGGAAAGGGGGAAACACGGTCCTGCTCAAAGTGGCCCAAAAACTCCAGAGCGGCCTGGGACCACGCTTCAGATTGATGTCTCCCATTCCAGTAAAGAAAGCGGATGCTTTACTCAGGAATGAGGCTTTTCAAGATCCCCGGGACCGAAGTTACTCACAGTGCTTCGTAGAAAGAAGCTCTCCGAACCAATGGAAAAACGGCAAAGTGCAGGAGTCAGACACCCACACACCCTCCACCTCCTGCCTTCCCGGGGAGACATAAATGAAAGGAGTGACCCTCCAAAAAAAAAAAAAATCTATCTTTTTCATTGGATTAAGGGGAAAAAAAAAATTAAAACGGGCCAGCTTCTCAGACTCACACCCTCTTCATTAGGCCCCTGGGAACCGGATTAAGCATGTAATTAATTACGAGCTCAGAATTCACACTCAACCTCATTTCTAAGGGTCCTCAACCTCGACCTGCCGCGCGTTTACTTAAGCAACCGCGACTTTTCCTTTGCAATTTAAATCGATTAAACCACTGCGAGACTTTACACTAAAGTCCTGTAGGGA